AGGGATGCCGTATTGTAGCGGCGATGGCGGAGGCATGGCCGACATCGGAGACGGAGGCGGCTGGTGGTATAGAGGCTGGGGAGGTTGGGGTAGCTGCGGCGACTGCGGCTGCGGCTGCAGCGGATATGAGCCAGTCCACGGGATGGGCACACCCGCCGAAGCTAGTGTGCAAAAAAAGGGAGAAGGGTTAATTGAACCAACGCTGCTGCTTTCTTGCGGGCGAGGCTGAACGCGTACTGAGGGCGTTTTGCAGCGCCACGATCTGAGCTTGAAGCTGGCCGATGTAGGTGTTCACGTCCACACCAGGAGGCACCCTGGACGGAGCTATGGGGAATGGAGAGCGTCAGGTCGTGTCACAGTGCTTGGTTGGGGCTCTACTCGCTATTACGAGAAAGGAGGCGAGAACGCGACAAGACGGTACCTCCAAGCTAGACGAAACAGAACAGGTGGAGAGGGAACAGTGATGGAACACAGTGTACATGTGTGATGTACGTTGATGAAGTACGGACACGGATATATATAGGACATAGGAGGAGGGGCTCCGGTCAGAACGAACAAAAGAGATTAACAAAAAAACTAACACTTAGACCCAAACAACAAGCTCGAACGTATGTGGCGTCTGCCAACACTCACAAGCAACACAGTAGGAACGTGTAGATCTCGAAGTTATGTAAACAGCACGTTGGCGGAGGATGTCGTACCTCGGGATGTGTCGGCATCGGCGCATGTGCTTGCTGGTGCGGCCACCCACCGGACATGAGCGGGAGAGAAAGAGGTGTGGGGAACTTCATCTGCATCTTCTTTTCCTTCTGCTTTTTCGTGTCGGCGTACTTGACCACGAGAGGTTCGTTCGACCCCTGGTTGCGACAAGGCGACATTGAGACCATTTGACTCGATCAGATGAGCTGCGTGTGGGGGGCGTTGGAAGGTGGGATTGTTACCCGCACTACCACTTTGCCATTCAATGCTCTAATGGCCTTCTCCGCCTCCTCCCGGTTATCATACTTCACGAAGCCGCAGTTCACGTCAGCCGGGCCTGCGCGGTGCAAGTAGAAGGTGTGAGGAAGGTGAGAACATGTTGGCTGCACAAATAGACAGAGTATGTGGATACCCTTGAGAATGTTGAGCTTTTCGATGTTGCCATAGGGCGCGAAGATCTGGCGCAACAGCTCTTCCGTCACAGTGGTCGGCAACTTGCCAATGAACAACTTGTGCTCGGCTAGCGTGGAGAGAAGGGCGTTAGAAAGGTGTGCAAGCGGTTCGTTTTGCTTCTTCGAGCGGGCGTGGCAGTACCCATTTGCTGCAGCTCTTCGTCGGCGTACCGCACCTGGAGCGGAGCCGTGTGCTGCGCGTAGTACAAGCACACGGGGCGGAGCATTCTTAGAAGAAAGACCCGAGCAAGGCAAACAAGAAGCGGACAACGCACCGGAGGGATGGTGACTACGCTGTGGAGGGCGGAGATGGCTTTGTCCGCGGCCTCTTTCGTTGAGTACGAGACAAATCCACAACCTGCCGCGCAAGAACAGAGGTTATGACGTGTGTGCCATGGATGCAGAGCGGTGCAGCAGCCAGCGCTGTACCTTTGGAGATCTGGGTGAATCTGTCCCGCAGGATGTTCATATGCACGATTTCGCCATAAGGCGAAAAGAAGGACCGGATTGTGGCCTCCTGTACGTTCTTGGGCACCTGCCCAACGAAGAGCTTCCACGGCTTGGCGCATTCACCTTGCTGGTCGGGCATTGATGACGACGTAGAGGATGATGCACTATTATCCACAAACCAGAACGCGTGATCCTCGCCGCCTTGGTTGATATGCCCCGGTGCCGGGCTTGCCGTAGTGGTTGTTGTAGGCGTCTCCATCATGCCACTCTCCGGGGGAAAAAGATTCAAATATTCAAATGTAAAACAGGGTGAAATACAAAAAGAAATAGTAAAACACAAAGAAAATATGGAAAGGCGGGAAGAAAAGAAGAACGGGACGGACAGATCGAAAACGAACGCAGCGGACCCGGCGAATTAGTCAGTTGCCCGAGCAGTGAAGATGGAGTTCGTTGTCGTGGCTGGAACGTACGAGCACATCCTCTACGGATTCTACTGCCTCGAGAATGACAAAGCTGACACCAAGCAAAAGATGGTACGAACGCTCGCAGATTATCTACTCCTGCGACATGAATTTTTGAGCAATTGCGTTGATTTAACAAGATTTATGGCGATCTCTCACTGATCTGATTCGCCGTTCAGGAGCTCCGTCTTGACCCCATGTTCATCTACTCGTCGCACCTGAACGGCATAACGTGCCTCGCCAACCACAAGAACCTTCTGGCCTCTGGCAGCGCTGACGAAACTGTCAAGTACGTGCGCCTGCCCTTCTGCCCACCTCAATGCCGCGGCAGTGTCAGTGTCTGTGCACTCAACTTTGCTACTGGTCGTCGGTGCTTCTTTGTGGGTGGAAAATAGGATCTATGATTTGAAAAAGCGAGTGGAGGTGGGCACCCTCATCCAGCACAACGGTACCCTCTCTCTCGGCTCACGCCTCTCAAGCAGACGCTCGTGATCTGATTCCGCATCGGCTCTACAGGTGCCGTGAACGCCACCGAATTCTACGGCGTCCACATGCTGAGCGGAGGTCAGGATGGCACCATCTGCATTTGGGATGCCAAGCGCTGGGAGTGCCTTGTCACGCTCAAGGCCCACAAGTACCGAACCTCTACAGTCCCACCCGCCTCACAGCTGTACCACGTGCGGAGATGGCGGCGGACTCTTTCCTTACTCCAGTTGCTGTAATCTCCTCGTGCAGAGGCGGTGTGATTGATTTCTCGGTTCATCCGTCCGGCAAGGTCGCGCTGTCGATCGGCAAGGACAAGTCGATGAAGATGTGGGATCTCGTACTGGGCAAGTCTGCGTTCAAGAGTCGTCTCGTCCGAGGTGAGCTTCTTGCTCGACGCGCCAGGCCAATTCTACCATGCAAAACAAACTCACTCACCTACTCGCATGTGCAGCTCCTCAGATGGTGCGTTGGTCGCCGGGCGGAGATGTCTACTGCCTGGTCGATGAGACCAAGTTCACCATCTACACTGCGGATGACAACACCGTTACGCACACAATCGAGACCCCGAGGAAGATCGTCTCGCTGGCTTTCATCACGGTACATCGCCGGCGAGCTTCACCCACACAAAACCTGACCTGGGAGGACCCTCACCTATTACGATTTGTGTGCGGTACCGTATCAAAAACAGCCTAAGTTGGTGGCGCTCGGTTGCGAGGAGGGCTTCCTCCAGGTTTGGGACATCGTGACGGGCGAAATGACGCACAACCTCATCGGCCACAAGGTCCGAGTGCGAGGTCTCTCTGTCACCCACCTTCCCCTGGTGGAGGACGCCGTTGAGGGAAAGCAGGCCACAAGTGCGTTCGATTGATCACCTCTCTTTTCATTGACCGAACGAGCGATGTTCACTGACGAGCTCCATTGTCTCTTGCAGAGCTGCGCCACTTCCTCGTGTCCGGTTCCTCCGAGGGTGTCGTCAAGGTGTGGGAGGTGCCCTTGCCAGAGGAGGGCCAGTTGCAGCCGATCGTGCTCAAGCAGCCCAAGGCCGAGGTGAACGTCGACGCGCGTATCACTTCAGTCGCTTCCGCGCTCGTCTTTGAAGAGATCGTCGAGGAAACCGAGCAGTGCGCCCATTACCTTCGCTCGCCTCTTGCTGTGCACCTAACGTGCGCTCTAACACGACCACTACAAATCGCAGCAAGCAAATGGCCGGTGAGAAGAAGCCCAAGGCGAAGAAGGCCAAGCAGACGACCCGCGTCGTGGTGGAAGACGAATCTCAAGAGGGCCAGAAGAAGCGAAAGCGAGGAGCCAGCCCGGGTCCGGCCAAGAAGGGCAAGCCAGGAAACAGCCCGGCCAAGAAGGGCAAGCCGCAGGGCAAGAGGCCACGCAACGAGCAAGCCGAAAATGAGGTACGGCAGCACCACAGTGTCAATAACACCGGGACCCACACCAGTTCGTTTGTCTCATCGGGGTCAATCACTCAGGATGGCGCGGGTCAAGGGAAGACGTCGAGGTTCAGCAAGCGCATGGAAAAGGAGGAGAAGATGATCACTGCAGCGGTGTTTGGCAGCCCTGACGTCAAGCCCAAGAAGAACAAGCCATCGGACCAGGTTCATTTCTATCCCTTCTATCCATTCCACACCTGTCGTCGAGCCTGACGGTCCGACCCCCTCAATCCACTCAGGGCAAGCTGCCGCAGAAGGGAGGCCACGACAACCAGCACAACCAGCAGCTCAACAGCAGAGCCAGGAAGGCGCCCAAGGAAGGAAGCTTTTCTCCCAGAGGCGGTCGAGGTGGTGGCCGAGGCGGTGGTCGAGGCGGCAGCGCCAGGGGCGGAGGCAGGGGCGGCCGAGGTGGTGGCCGAGGCGGCAATGCCAGGGGCGGAGGCAGAGGCGGCCGAGGTGGCAGGCGGGGCGATGATGACTTCTAAAGGCCCGTGCAGTGGCGGCAATGGTGAACAGACCAGCACTGTACTCACATCACTGAGAAAATATTTTCTTTTATTTAGATAATAAATAAATATAAAATAATATTGGTTGAGGCTCACAGTGAGAAGAGGAGAGGGGGCGTGGATGAGGGCGTGGTGGCAGAGCGGTGTCGGACTTGAAGGAGGTGGCGGAAGAACTCGTTGTCCTCGAAGCATCCGCTCCCGACGACAGGGCTCACGCCGAGCTGCTCGACCTGCAGCCGCTCCTCCTCGACGGCTTCATCGCGGTAGCGTTTGAATCGCTCTTGGAGCTGCATCAGCTGCAGCGCACCAGAGGCGCACTTCATCACGCGGAAGCCCTCGTCACCGCACTTGTCGTTGAGCACCTGGTCCAGCAATCCGCTGCTGAGTCGTTGCAGGAGCTCCCCCACGTCCTCCGCGTCTTCATCTTCCTCGTCCTCGTCCTGCTTGGCTCGCTCGGCTTCCACGTCCTCGAGTACGTCCCAGAATTGGTTCCACATCCCTCGTTCCTCATCTTCGCGCTGCAGGTCGCCGTTTCGCTTCCTCTTCTCGTCATGCTGATCTCGCAGCCGTTGCACCTTCATCAATTGATCTGATTTCTCCTGGAGGGCGGCGCGCTGTTGGTGATCGAAGACGATTTTAGAACCCGAGAGATCTGACATCGTTGCCAGACGGCCCCCGAAGGGCGACAACGGCGGGTGCGCGTAGCGGGTAGGAGCTCTTGCCGCTCGACGCACGTTAATCGGAGATGAGGAAGTTGAAGAGAGGGAGAGAGGTGGAGATAGGATGGGAGATGTGGCGGATAGGGGAGGAGAGAAGGTGAGGAGGCTCTCTGCCGCCTGGATTATGGCCCGACCTTGCGACGTGTCCCTCCGCTGTATCATCACCGGCGACGTGTCCACCCGCCTCCTTCCCTCCGGCGACTTGATCGACGTCGCCAGTCCTCTGCTCTGCCTCCTCTCGTGGGATATCTCCACGCGCGGGCCATTCCTGCTTCGCTCTGTCTCCGTCGCCTCCGCCTCTGTGCGTGTCCTCGCCTTCTTTGCTCTCACCCACATGGCCATCTATCTACACCTCGTTGTGCAGCTGTTTGTTGTGTGAGGTTGTGGATGGCAGCAATGGCAGCACTCGGGCACGGGTGTATTGCTGTTGTTGCCGTGTGTTGGCTTTGTGTCGTCGCGTCCACAAGAAGCTGGTGAACGTTGCGGCAGAAGCAAACACTTGCCACCGGCGGTGGGCAGGGTGGCAGGAACGGGGAGGAGAAGCAAAGGAAATACGAGAGAGGGCGGCTCAAGGTCCTTTCGAGAGCCTTTTCCACAACCACCGTGCCAACACTGAGGGAACCATCACCACGATTAAGAAGTGAACCTCACCAACATGGGACAGTACCCTGACCACCGTGGGTTGGGCACCCAGGAGATACTCCGTTGGTTCCGATCCGTTGGTTGGGTTAGTCCCGACGAACGGAGTTGCATTTCACAGAAAAAACACTAAACGTTTTGGTCAAACTAGAAGTTGTTTCGAATGGCTTGCGAAGTTGGCGCCAAAACAGCAGGAAGAAAATTAATTCGAAACGCAAATCGGGATGTCAGGCGAAGACGACGATGGTTCTCTGCCGCACAGTCTAAGCGCTGCCATCACCAAGCTCGAAACGAAGTTAGGAAGGGGCAAATCAGATAGAGGAAAAATCTACGCACATCTGCTCGGATTCGAAGATGAAGAAGAGCAGGAGATGGTGCCAGGGAGGAGTACCGAAGACACATACACGAAAGCCCTAGTGAAACTGCATGCTGCCGTCTATGCACTACGAGACAAAGGGCACCGGCAGGCAGCCTCCGCGCTTGAGCTTCTCGTGCACAAGAAGTGGCTCACGTACATACCCCCTCCACTCTTCTCACAACTGGGTGACCTCCCGTAGCTGACGCTTGCCCTGTCTCTAGTTCTACGCATGTATCTTTGCCTGCCGCAGACGACGCTCCTTACTCCAAGGGCTCCACACTCCAAATCACTGACCACCACTCGATCCTGTTGCTGCTGCTTCTTCTATCGCGTAAACAAGCTGACGCAACCGAACCCGTGCTTGGCCGGTTCGCCCTCTCCGTTGCTCTACTTTGGCCCAAGTGCTGATCAGTGCTGACCTCTTGTGCTATTCCTAGCCTGGCAATTGAACTCTTGTCCGAGTTGAAGCCACCCCTCTCCAGCGAGTCCTCCCTGGAAGCTACGCTCTGCAGCCGGGAGTATGAAGGTGTCCGTGTGACGCTGCCCCCGCGTCTCTTCTCTACGCCCTCTCTCTACGATGTCGACGCCGAGGCCTCCGGCACTGTAGACCGAGGATGCAGCGCTGTACTTGAAGCAGACATAAGCTTCCTTTCAGGCCCGCCCGCTCTTGACAGCAACATCTTCGGCGACCTCCTTTGTACAAGCGAAGGTAAGTGCTCTCGCGCATGACAAGACCGGTCATGTCGCTTACCACTCAACTGAATAGGGAATGGAACCACGGGCCGTGGTGAAGAGAAGGCAGAACAGCAACCTTCTGCGTCGACGCTTCCGGACGACCCGTTTTCGTTGCTGCCGCCACTGCCAACGGACCCTTCGCTGACTCCTTCCATCTTTGACGACTTCCTCTCATTCGCTCTGCCGCCCTCCCACGTCTCGCCCAGCCATGACGAATCAGCGCCGCAGGCCGAAGAAACTGAACATCAGCCGCGCGTCTCGCAAGCAGAAGAAAGACCCTCACCACTGGCACCACAAGGTACGAGGGCTGTGCCCGCAGCTATGCCAGGCTACAGCTACTGCAGTCGCTGACAGTATATCATCTGCAGTTGGCGTTCAGCTGCGCTACGAGCCACAGATTCTCGTTGAAAAGGAAGTGGTGGAGTGCACGCTGCTCATGCTTCTCGGCGTGCAATCTTGGCTTTTCACGTGGGACGACGTCAAGGAGGTACCAGGGTCCAAACGCGAGGAAGTAAGGGCCTTCCAGATTACTCACTTGTGGTTTGGTTGCAAACCAACCGGGCGCAGGCGTACCGAATCGTGCCCCCCTGCGTTCGCCTTGCTACCATGGAGGAGGCCAGCCTGACGTCGGTCCTCCACACCCTGGCGCACTTGGGCACAATCCTGCAGCGACTTCACGGGTTCGCGGTGCGGCTGGTCGACGGCGAGGGCATCGCCGACGGCAAACTGGTACGTGCACTCAATCCTCCACACATTGGGGGGGGGGCTACACGATGTGTAGAGGTATTTTCTTTATGACACCCGGAAGGTGAGGTTGATCCGAGGACCCTTCACCTCTGGCTCCTTGGGGACGCCGTGCCGCCAGAACTCCTGGGTGGTGCCGTCCATTACGATGAGACTGCCCGGAGTGAGGGCGTACCGCCTCTGCAGCCTCTTCTTGCGGCTGTGGCGCAGGACGAAGGTCCGGGTTTCCCCCAGAGACAGCGAGGCCACAATGTTCTTGGGTCCGTACGTCTCGTTCACGCCGCGGGCCTCGTCATCGATGTGAAAGCCGATCGAGTCCTCGCCGTCGCGGTAGAGGTTGATGAGCACGTAGTCGAAGGTGCACCGTTTTCCCAGTGCGGCCTCGATCGCGCTCTTCACCTTGAGCACTGGCTCCGTCCACACCGTGGGGGGCGACTTCTGGTACAGGGTGGACACCTTCTTGTTCTCGGTGGACATCCAGCCCTACGCCACAACCACAAACTAAATTAGAAAAATTGCATTTAAGAAGTTGAGCGGAGGTTGGGCGGTGGCGCACCTGCAAGCGGGGCAGCCGGGCCTTGGAGCCGTCGGGGAGGGTCATTTCGCTTTGCTCCCACGCTACGGCGGCCACGATGTGCTCGAAGAGCGCGGTGGCCTCGTCGGCGCTCAGGAAGGACGGGCAGAAGTGTATGATCACGCCCTGGTCCAGGTCTTCTGTGACCAGCTGATTGCCGGGCGGGGTGGGAGAAGTGGTCGAGCCTTCCATCTGTTCGTGGTTGTCGGTCGGTTGTTTCTTTTGTTTCTTTTGTTCGCTGTGACCTTTTATCGCTCTTTTGCGATTGGTTCTGCGTTTATTCGCGACCGGTTTTCGCTGTTTTGCTTGTCTCGCATTTTTTTCGCTGTACTTGTACGGTGTTGGGAGTGTTCCTTTTCAGGCCAATCTAATCAACTTGCGCAACAGGTGTGGCAGGCAGTCGGTCGCGGCGTGCAGGATCAAGTGCGCCGATGGCGAGAAAGAGTCCTCGCTCTGGGATACTTGCCATCACCGCTTTTCGCGACGCAGGACGACGTGGCGGAGCTTCTCCACAGGCTTCAGGAAGCCAATACGGCCTTCAGCACGGACATCAAGCACCATCCCTGCCTCTTTGACCTTCTGCCAACCGCGACAGTGGACGCGGTTGAAGAACCAAGGGACGACCATACGAATGCAAAGAAACGCCGACACATCTCGGATGACCTACGACTGCTTCACGTGGAGCAATGCACAAGGCACATCCAAGGTACAAGTGCATGAAGCTGTGGCCGTAGATTTCGGGTTTTTTTAACTTTTGTTAACTTTCTGCTCGGTCAGATTGCGCAAGCTTTGTGATGGAAGCGCTTGCGAGAATTTCTTCTACAGGCAACGCTCGAGAGGTACTCCACCAACTCTGTCACTTGCTTGCATCTCGGGCGAAAAAGAGCACCGGTCTGACGACCCTTCGTCCTTTCTTTGATCTAGGGCAAATGGGGAGAAAGGATGCCCTGCGGGGGTCTTGAGTGCATCTCCTATCTCTACAACTTGGCCGCTGATACGCTGATGGTGTGTGCCCACCCACTCCCTGTTTCGCACCTCGGTGCCGGTTCCTGACCACTTCTCACTTGACTTCTTTTTAGTGGGACTCGGAGCCGCAGGGCAGAGGCGACATAATTTTGTACCTGTTTTCGTGTAGTTGGCGTCCGTATGCCGTCTTCCTCGAGCGGCTTCTTGGCGAGGGCGTCTCACCGACAATCGACCCGTTTCGCGATTTCTACCACGTCATTCCCTCCCAGGTGGGGCACACTTCCACACGTGCGATCTCAGTGATTGAGTGCTCACTCCTGTACGCTCACAGGACAGGGAAGGCGAGTGGGAAGACATCATAATCGAAACGCCGCGCCACCTGGCACACGTCAAGCGAGATCTCTGTGCCATCGCCTTTGGCCTGTACATCCTGAGCCGCGAGAAGACCGCGGACGCCAAGGTCTTCGTAGCGTCGGTCGACAGCCGGCCAACGAGCCTCTGCTACCCTTCCCTCCACGGCTTTACCCAAGACCGGTACGACCTTTGTCTTGCTAGCACCATCGATCAAGCAAGCTGTGCTGTTCAGTGACTCAGCTTTCGCGCGTGGTTACAGAGGCGCGAACGCAAATGCAGAAATGGCGAGCAATTGGGCCGATATCTTCGTGGTGAAGTCACCCTCACAGCTGGGAGGCTCCGTGTACGAGGAGGAAACGGGGAAGAAGAGGGTCAGCCGCGATGGTGTCGACAGCCAGCTGCCGGATGAGCAATTGCTCGCTCGAGCAGCCACCATGAGCGAAGGCTGGATGTTCTTGGACGCCATCACCCAGGATAGCATTGCATCAACAGTCACCGAACGGTACGCTGTGCTGCGGCCGCGTTTCTTGCCCTTGCCGACAGTCGATGAAGAGACTCGCTCACGTAGTTGGGTCAACAGATACGAACGAGTCAGTGTCTCCCTGCGCCACTACGTGATTGACCAGAGCGGCGTGTTGGATGAACTGCGCTTCCTGCACTCGACCTGCCTTCTAGCTTCGCCGCTCTCTCTTCCCCTCGCGCAAGCGCTGCACGGGCTGGTCGTCAATCCGCCATTGGTACCTTTTGGCTACCACCCTTTGCTCTGTTAACAGCGGCCGCGGATCAGCTGACCCTTGCGTCCGCGTATGTCGAAGGCGTGGGGCGTGGCACAGCGGCGTAAGATTAACGGCATGCTGCGAGACACGCTGTCGCTTCACATGGGCGGCCACTGCCACCACGACGAACAGGAGGAGACCCTGCAGCGCGGCGCCAGCCATGGTGTCGATGTGGCGATCGCTCGTGGTTGCGATGCCTGCTATGCTCAGAAGCTCTCGTTCGGCTTTGGCATCGCCGAGCCTGGAGACCAGGCTGCCGGAACTCCCCAAGGTGCGTAAGTTGCAACTTGTTTGAGCAGCTTCATGAGAGGCGGTGCGCTGACTCTCTCTCTTTGTTTGTTTGGCTGTCCTACGCAAAGGCCCCCTGAGTGTCTTGAACGAACTCGCGTGGGACTATCACTTGGTCTGGCCGGCGCATCTCGTGGTTGATCGCCACGCCATGCTCAAGATCAACAAGCTCTTTGGCTTCTTGATCAAAGTGCAGGTGCGGTCACGCACTACTTTTTGCTTTTTCTCGCTTGCGGCACTCAGTCCTCCTCTACGTGCTGGCACTAACGGCAGCGTTCATTCGGATTGCAGGTCGCGCAGCTCGCCCTCTCGACCAGTTGGGTTCTCTTGAAACGCACACGCAGTCACCGGCAGCTCAATCTGCCATGCGTCATCCTGTACGCTCGCCTTCTCATTGGGCTGATCAAAGAGCTTTTATGGTTTCCCCGAATGGCTTGTGCATTTACCTCATCAATCAACCTCGCCAATCGGTGGCACCAGGCAAGAGATGCGGCATGCACTGAGCGTGTTGGGCGAGGACACAAGCAGGCAGGTGCACCACGTCTACTGGCGCGACTTTGTTGCTGCTTTCGCCGAGGTGCGTGTGCCCGCGTACAGAATGGCGCGCCGTTTTGAGCCTCCGGCACATCTGAGATCACTGATTTCACCGCGTGCTCTTTCGCGTGAACTAGGCTAAAGACGTGCAAGCCATGCAGGAGTGTCTGCACCAACGCTTCCTCGACCCCGCCCTGTCGTAGTACGTCGCCTGCTCTCTGGGGTTTGTGCGAGCACGTACTCATCTCATGAGAACGTTCCTATCTGTAACTGACCGTACCCTCTGAACGTGTTGTGTTCGTGGCATCACAGCTGCTTCCTCAACCGGGAAAGCGCCGGGCTGTTGAACCTGGTGGAAAAGCTGCTTTCCTACGCCCTTGTCATGCAACGCTACGCGGAGAAGCTCGCGGTGCGACTTTCGACGGCGCCGCGGCCTCGATCTTATCCCGATTTGAAGGGAAAAGCCGCAGGCTCCAGCGCGAGCGGGCCAACCGACGGCGGCCAAGATCATGCCGCTGGAACATCGGCCGATGCGCTGCAACTTACCGAGAGCGAAGCGAGGGAATTCGACGCGTTGCGATCGAGCTTCGGTCAGCACGTCGCGGCCTTCCTCGACCTGATGGCCCAGCTCTCGTCGTCATCGTCCTCGTCATCGCACACAGTGGGCTTCTCCCTCGCCCAGAGCAACTTCAACCACTTCTACCGCGGCCTCGACCCCGGCGGCAGCGGACCTCTCGCCAGTCGTGAGCACACCGACGACGCACGACCTCGGAGTTCCACCGCGACAAGTTGGGCGCCAAGCTACGTCTCCTTGAGCGGTTCAGCATGGTGACGGCCGCTCGATCCGCGCGGAGGTGAGCAGGTGGCGATTGGGCCAATGACGTCGATCGCCATCACCTTTCCCACGAATTTCATGGGCGCTCGCTCGCGGTTGGACAACGCCTTTCACCGTTGCATGTGTTGATTTCTTTATGTCGACAATTCATGGACACGCGGGGCACACAAACAAGGAGAGAACACCACTGCGCACGCGGCGTTTTTTGATTGTTGTTCTTTCTCTGTTGCCTACTCAGCAACTGGCTGTGTTCGTGTGTGTTCTCCCTGGCGTACACGAGGTACTCAACACACACCTCGGCCCGCTTGCTCCTCCTGGGGCCGTGTGCGGCACACCGGAGTAATGTTTGTGTGGGGCCGACATTATAATTTTTTGCACGTGAACGGCTTTAGTGTTAAACGAGAAGCAGAGAAGCAAGAAACACGCCAGACAAGAGCGGCAGCGCAAGGATACTGATAGCGCTTCTCGTCTTTAGGTGCGTCTGCTGCGAGAGTTTGACAAGACACGCCGAGAGAACTAACACTTCGGCTACGCGACCAGTGACGATCAACGATGGACGCCGCCGAGGGTCCAACGTCTCCCGTTCTCGGCGCGACGTCGTCGCCAAAGGTGACCAACAAGAAGCCGAAGCAGTGGCGCTGGGCCGAGAACGATTTCCCCAACCGCGACATCGACTACGAAGTGAAGATACACAAGGACGAGGCACTGCCCCTCATCGAAAACTGGTAACTTGGCCTCCTCCCCCTCTTCGCTTTCACTTCGTTCTTTGCCCCGCCGGAGCCAAACCCCGCCCCTTGCCGCGGCGGAACTGCTTCCATCCTGCGCGACAACACTGTTCGCCTCATGGCCGCACGTCACCCACAGATTTGGGCTCTCCCAACAGCAAAATTATTATCTCTGGGAGACTATGTGGCCTTCTGCCGTTTCGACCATCAGCATCGATAGATCACCACAAAACTCAACTCACCTCGCCGTTCTCACCTCACCTCACTGCTGATCTGGTGTTTGTGTGTTGGCACACGCAGGCTGAAGGACAACTATGAGAGACGGACGGGCGTGTGCACGGCCAAGCGGGGCCTCTACGCTGACTACCTCTCGTTTTGCAGGGACAACTGTAAGCCCCGCCCATCATCTCCTTCTGCCATTGATGTCTACACGTCAATTGCGTGCTCTCCAACCTCACCGCGGCGGCGTCACCACAACCACAACCACAACAACGACACCAACGACACAGGCGTGGAAACGAGCAACAACTCGGCGTTCGGCAAGGTGTTCAAGAAGGTCTTCCCTGGTGTGGAGACACGCAGGTTGGGCAAGAGGAGCAGCAACATGACCTTCTACCACGACTTTGCCCGGAAAGGTACCCGAAAATCGGCCGAGGCGTCACCATCTTACATCTTTGTTGTGCAACATGCCGATCTTCCGCGTATGTGGCACCGTTGCGTGTGTTCGACAGAAAAAGATGAAAAAACACAGTTACCCCCAAATTCCGATGCAAATTACAACATTCTATAATATATCTATATATAGTAATATTTAAATCCATAAATAAAATCTATCCAACCATTTACAACAAAAATTGCATTTATTTACGGTTGAAAATGAATATGCAGGAACTACGGCAGCGGGACCATCAACGATGGCCGCGGTGTCGGACGCGGTGACGCCGCTGCGACGGCCCAAGCGAAGCCTGAAGAAGCGGAAGGAGCGGCCGATGAAGGGCAGCCTGCACGACCACGGCGACGACCCCGAGGGCGAATACGATCGCGAGACCGAGCCGCCGCGACCGAAGGAGCCGCGCCACGCCTTCGCGCCCAAGCACGCTCCACCACCACGGCTACGCGGAGGCGCCGGCCCAATCGATAACGGCGGCAGTGGAGAGGTCAAGCTCGAGAACGGAGCCAGCAACGGGCGCCCGCCGCACATCTGGGAGGACGGAGAGCTGCGCCTGCAGCCGGCGCAGACGCAGAAGCTGGCGGTGCTGATGAACTACTCCGACACCTATTGGCGGTTCGTATGAGGCGTTGTGTTGGTCGCCAGTGTTTGCCGTGACTCACGAGGACCACTGCACGCACACATACAACCGCACACGCGCAGGGAGGTGTGGGCGCTTTCGGCTCTCAATCCGGCGTGCCTGGAGAGCAAGACCGTGACGGCCCTGTTCTTCACCCCACCGGGCTCGGAGCCAGACGTCGATCCCGTGCTGGCGTTGAGCACCTACCACGCTCTTTCTGTCGGTACGCACACGTGGCACGACACGCACCACCGCACACGCACACGACACACGACACACATCGCGCCTCACACGCAACGCGGGCGTATAGGCGCATTTTTGGTCGGGGACCTCGAGGCGGCGGAAGAGCTCTTTGAGCAAACGAGACACCAGCTCGGCGGGGTGTTCGACACCACCCACTATGACGTGGCCAACGCCCTGTGCGGCATCGCATTCTGGTAATCACCCCCGCCATCTTCTCTCTTTTCGACCTTTACACTCACGCGTGCACGTGTGTGTGTGTGTGTGTGTGTCGTGTGTGTCGTGTGTTTTGACCACAGGCACCGGTTTGCGTGCACCAACCGAAAACAGCTCGATGAGCGAACGATCTACTACCTCAACCAGTGCCTCCAGATATGCCGCAACCTGCGGGACACGAACAGCGATATCTACCTGACGGCGATGAGGTGCGTTTTTCGCATTCTTCCATGGGGTGGAATTGTGTGACCTCTGACCTCTCTGACATTCTTTCGACGTTGTTGTGTGGGTGGGCGCCTGCAGGGAGTGGGGCTACTTTGTGGGGTACTCGGAGGAGTGGCTCAAGGTGATCGACGAGGCCGAGCGAAGTAAGCTCGTCGATGGCTACACACCGGCCTACACGCGACACTGGGCAATCGACCCCAAGTATGCCTTCCACACGACACACACGCACGCACACATGGCACACGCACACGCACGCACTAACGCTGGCCGTGTGCAGGTACATACTCATACACACGAACCAGAAGGGGCTCTTCAACAGCGTGTGCCGGGAGGTGGAGAGTTTTTACCGGTTGCTGCTGCGCTATGAGAGGGAGGCTCGGAGAGGAGCGACGACGGGGCAGCAGGACGGGGCGACGGTAGCGGCCGGCTGCTCGGGGAACGACGTTCCCCTCGAGAACGGTGGGCGGCGCGGCGTGAAGGCCGAGGCGAAGTGGCCAAGCGAGCGACCACCACCGACAACGGCGGCGGCCGACGACGACCTCCTGCGATCGTGGCGACACGAGCTGTACATACAAAAGAGCGTGGTGGACGACTTCACCAGGAAGATCCTGCAGGGCGAGATGCGGTTCCTGCCGCTGGCCACCTCCATCATCATTCACATGACACTCATGCTCCACGTCCGATATTTCGCCGCCGTTGGTAAGCCATTCTCCCCGTGTGCGGTGTGTGCGGTGTGTGAGTGTGCGGTGGTGTGTGCGCGACTCGTGCGGTGGTGCGTGTGCTGGACTGCGTTCCTAACGGACAACAATAGGGCAAGTGGAGATGGGCCGACAGGCGGCAGCGATGCTGGTCAAGCTGTTGATCTCGCTGCCCAAGGCCTTCAAGGCAGTTTTGATGTCGCGGATGGAGGGAGAGATGAAAGGTACGCATGTCCTCCTCCACCGCGGCGAGAGACATTGCCAGCGCCACACACACCACACACACACCACACAACACGGCACGCACGCACGCACGCAACTGACACGTTGATCGACGCGCAGAGTTTATGGCAATGCTGGAGACGCGATGGCTGAGCTGTTTGACGCGACTACTTTCAGAGTTCAAGGCACGATTCGTGCAGCTGGCCAGCCTCAAGGACGGCTGCGCGGCTCAGCTCGCGCAGCGAAAACGGAGCGCCGCGGACGACGCCAACGCCGACGAGCCACCGCCCGAGTACTCGACCGGCCAGGAACTCGAGCCCACCGGGCGCGAGAAGGAGGAGCTCCTCCGCTACTTCCTGGCCGGCCCCGTCGCGGGCGAGCGATCCAGCCACGAAGCGATTGCTCACTCGCGCGTGGGGGAGCGGAAGTGGAGCGACGGAAATGAGTGAAGGGCGAACGAGAGAAAAGAGAACAGGACGAACAAATAGAGAAGAGAGAAGAGAAGACAGATCTGAGACGAGAGAGACAGAAAAACAAAGATGGATACATTTTTGATGTGCCTTTATTCCCGTCGTGCCAACCAGATCTTTTTTTGGCTCATTTATTCTTTATGGTTAATCCAATATAATTTGTTATTGTTATTTTAAAGCACCCCAGCAGTGTACCCGTGATTCAGGAAACAAAGAAATCAATCAATCGTTCTCGTGCTCCAGTGCACTTCATTCCACATGACAACGAGAGCAGGCCTGCTCGATCGACCGCCAGAGATGCTGCAATCACAATTGAGAAGAGATTGTTCCACAGATGTATATAATTCGACGCCTCAAAGTGTATCACGCTCACCACTGCAGCTGCTTTCCTCATCTCCAACTCTGCCATCAACTTCATCAAATTCATTTCCCTCTACTCCACTCCCCCTGCCAAGTAGCGCCTCCGCCATCCTCATCTTCCTCTGCTGCTTCGCCTCCCTGGCGATTCGAGGAGCCGACGCTGGATCGCAGCAGGCGAAGCCTGCACCAGCTCCCTCGGACGACACGACCGCCATCGACACCGGGTGGCTGCTCATGTCGTCCTACCTCGTCTTCTGTACGCTCTCTCCCCTGGCCTTGCCCGCTCTTTACTTCCCTCTCTAACACCTCTCGCCGCACGCACCACCGCACACACCGCACACACACACACACCACCGCACACACACGCACAGTCATGCAGGCAGGGTTCGCCATGGTGGAGGCCGGCACGACGCGAGCAAAGAACATCAAGAACATCCTGCTCAAGGTCTGGCTCGCCCCTCTTCTCCTCCTTCCCTTGTCGCTACGCATCAGTCAGGCTTGCGACAAGCTGACCCTCCCATTTACGCATCAACACACGCACCCAGAACCTGGTCGATACCGGCGTGGCATCGATGGTCTGGTTCGGGATCGGCCACGCTTTTGCCTTTGGCGATGTATGTCGACACACACGGCACGCACGACACACACACCACACACACACACGCACCCACGCACCCACGCACCCACGCACCCACGCACACTGCGCATTGACGTTGGTTGGTCAGTTGCTCATGAGGCCACACCTCACTCAGGGCAACGGGTTCATTGGAACGAGATACTTTTTCCTATACAACTATGACGACTACCCGTACTTCATGTTCCAGGTTCGCTTCGCCTTGTGTGCGTCGTGTGCATCGTGTGCGTCGTGTTGCGTTGTTGACGCGCGCGTGTATGCTTCAGTGGGCATTTGCAACGACCGCCGTCTCCATCATCAGCGGCTCGTTGGCCGAGCGAACCCAGTTCACGTCCTTCCTGATCTCGACGGCCATCGTCGCCGGCTGGGTCTACCCCATCATCGCCCACTGTACGCGCGCGGCCACTTCTCCCTCTTCTTAGTGCTGCCACCGCTGACACCGCCGCCCACCACCACTCAGGGGCGTGGTCCGATGCCGGTTGGCTACGCAACCTCGGCGCCAATGGCTTCATCGACTACGCCGGTGGTGGTGTGGTCCACATGGTTGGCGGTGGTGCGTGCCCCTCCCTTGGTGTTTTCTTTCTCTTTATTTCAATCTTTTTGATTTTTGATTTTTGATTTTTGATTCTTTGTTACTTATTATTATTATTCACGCACGATTTCCCTGCGTAGGTGTGGGGTTGGTGGGCGCCATCGTGGTGGGTCCACGTATGGGCCGATTCGACTCTGCGCAAAAGGTACCGGCATCAGGCATAAAGACACATTCGCTGCATTCGCTCAATCACGTTGTGATCTATTCCCTCACTCGGTGTCACGAACGAGCTGACGCCTGTGTGTGTGTGTGTGTACGCGCGCGCCTACGTAGGATGGGTGCTGCTTCTCGCTCAAGCGACCTAAGGTGCACGACATCCCCGGTCACAACTCGCCTCTGATTGCTCTGGGCATATTCATCCTCTGGTTCGCCCACCACCGCCCACCGCCTTCACTCCATTATGACGTCACCTCATTTCACTGTGCCCCTGGCCACACGCTCTGCGCAGGTTTGGATGGTTTGGGTTCAATTCCGGGTCCACGCTCGGCCTTTCGCTTGGGCGACACAGCCTGGCCGGCCGCATTGCCGTCAACACGGCCATGGCCAGCACCGCTGCCTGTCTCTCCTCTCTCATGCTCATCAGGTACCACCTCCCGCTCTGCGCATCCTCGCCCCCTTCCCCCCCCCGCCTCTACCCTTGCGCCCAGGCCCTCTAAATCGTCACCCTCACCACGCACACGCACACGCACACGCACACACACGACACACACACACACAGGTTCCTCACTGGTCAGTACAACCTCGAGGCCAGCTGCAACGGCCTGCTTACCGGCGCGGTGGCCGTGACCTCCTCCTGCGCTGTCATTGAGCCTTGGGCCGCTGTCTTCATCGGAGGTGCGCCGACCGCCTTTCAACACACACACGCGCGCACACACACACGACGCGCGACCTGAACCCCAACGCATCTCTCTTTCGTCCTGGGCTCGTTCACGATCATTCAGTCGGGGGCGGCTTCGTGTACTATGCCGCGCGCGAGCTTCTGCTCTGTTTACGCATCGACGACCCGCTCGAGGCCGCGCCCGTCCACTTCTTTGGCGGGATGTGGGGCCTGCTCTGTATCGGTACGTCGCCCGTTCCCCCCTTATGGCGCACTGCAAGCAACGTGTTGAGCTAACCTGGGCGCCCAGGTTTCTTCGCCCAGCAGGCCTACGTGACGAGCGCCTACGGCTCCGACACAGTCTATGGCCTTTTCCACGGGGTATCCACCCACTTTTTCTGCTTTAGGATTTAGTATTATTATCTTTATTTATATTATCTTTATTATTATTTATATTATATTTTATAGGATCTTCTAATTTTGTTCGCCCAGGGCGGTGCCGAGCAACTGGGCATCCAGTTGTGCGGAATTGTGGTCATCGTGGTGTGGGTCACGCTGTGGTCCCTGCCCATGTTCCTTGTTCTCCGCTACTTCCACAAGCTTCGGTTCGGGCTTCACTGCTTTCCTCCTTCGTCATTCATGGCTCATGCTCGTGTGTCTCGTGTGTCGTGTGTCGTGTGTCTTTAGTGTGTCGCACGAGGTGGAAGTGACGGGACTGGACATCACCAAGCACGGAGGCTCGGCCTATCCCTACTTTGTCCAAACAGGGTCTGTTGATGGTTGAGAGGGGATATCTGCACCTCTGTTTATGTAAACCAACACATCCAAAAGAGGGGATAGAAGAACGAGAGTCTCGTATTTCTTTGGAAAAACTTGGGGAGATTGACATCTTCTGCGGCTGGACGAGACGCCAGGAACCAAGCCAAGGCTTCTTGCAAAGCCCCCTGCTACCTTCCAGGGGCTCAACAACAATCCCCCGCACGTTCTTGCGGCTCTGAAAACAGAAGAAACAGTAAGGTCCACAACGCAACACACACAACACAAAGCACACGCACCACGCACCACGGACACGCACCACGAGCCATGCACACGTGCCATGCGGAAGCCGAAGTGCTCTTCACTTTCCTTGATCACATCGTACTGGGCGTGGCCGCAAGGCCACACACGAACAGCACCGCTAGCGGATCGCTTGGGCCTTGCCCTCTTTGTTGCCAGCCGCCATCCATGCAATGATGATGGCGGTCCACCTTGTCCTCGAAGAATGTGAGGCAGCACTCGCTCCACGTCGCTGAGCGCCAACGAATCCAGCTCCAGCGAAGATGTAGGCTTGTGGCAACTTGCGCCGGTACCTCAATGAGTTGACTGTGAATCGCAGGTGCAAGAGCAGTGTCCATCCCATAGCGCGATCAGTCACACACGCATTCATAGTCGTTCATCTCGTTCGCGAGGGCGGCGCACAGAGCGTCATGATCGATTGAATTGGCACATTCTATTCTACACAAACAACAAAGGGGGCGAACGGCACGCAGAGCCACATGTACCAGCAGGTTGGGACTGGAGAGACATGGGAGCGGACGCCACCAGCGCCATGAGCTCGAGCAGCACCACGCACATCACACGCTCGTGGGCCAGCACGAGATCGCGTACGGCCTGTCTCGTCCCTGCCAGCATCAAGGTGTCGTTCCACTCCAGCCTGTGGGCCGGAACCACAGGGACTAAATCTGGTGAATGGCCAAAAATCTACAATCAAGTAACGGAGGCAGAGGACGAGGTCTGGTCGGTCCAATAGGTTGAGAGTTGCGCACCCAAGCTGGCCGGGGAGGCTGCATCTTGGCCAGACCCAGGAAAAAATACGCTTTTAGACGTTGCCCGCACCTCGTAGTCGCCCTCGTCGAAGTCGTCGAAGTCGTCGAAGTCGTTCGTCCCGGCCACTGTGGCTGTAAAGCGAGTGCAGGCCATCGGCCACACTCAGCTCCACAGGGACTCTCAGAAAGCTCTGCTCAAACACGACTAACGACATACCACACACCACACACCACACGACACGACCAACGACACGTGTTGACCCACGTTTGTGTGTCTTCAGTGATCGCACGAGGTGGAAGTGACAGGGCCGGACATCACCAAGCACAGAGGCTCGGCCTATCCCTACTTTGTCCAAACAGGGTATGTTGATGGTGGAGAGATCGTGCCAATCTTTCTGTGCATGTGTGTGTGTGTGGATTTGCCACCCTCGCATTCAGTTACGTCACTGCTCCGCGTCTTCGCCATCAGCTCACGAGAGCCTCCTCCGACCTTCTCTACTCGGCATCATCTTCGTCATCTTCGTCCTCGTCGGAGTCGTCAAGGTCGTCATCGTCGTCATCCAAGTACTCATAAGCATCGCCATTGCCGGGCATCGCGAGCACCCCAAACGTCTTCGCCATGCCTTCGACAACGGCCGTAAAGCGACAGTGCACGTCATGGGCCACGCTCTCCTCCACTGGGACGCTCAGAAAGCTCCGCCCAAACGGGAGCTGCCAAACATACAGAGAGCCTTATTAGCCAGCCCCACACACACCACAGCACACCACAGCGACACGCACCACACGGTACGTACCATGCGGAAGCCGAAGGGCACTGAAGGTCCATCAACGCCAAGCATTAAGGTTGCCGCCCCTTCCTTGATCACGTCATACTGGGGCGCGGCCGCAAGGGCACACACGAACAGGATGGCCCCAATACGGATCGCTTCGCTGGCGTGCGCTTCCTCCGGGTCGACCATGTCACTCTCACCCGCCGGGAGCCCATACGTGCGTGCAACCTCGTCTAGGAATTTGAGCCCCCAGACAACGTCCCGCCCGTCCCGGACACTGCCACCCAAGACGGGACTCCACGCACAGGGGTCGTCGTCGAGGCCTAGGCCAAAGCTGCACCCATAGGAGGCCAGCAGACATGCACAAGCTTGTCAGCATTCCCACGCACTGTACAGCGGAAGGGTTGCAGTGCGCCGCAGCATACCGCTTGCCTAGCGATTTAGTCGAGGCGTGGGCTCCGAGCTCAAGCAGGCTTCGATCTGCAATCCCGCCCTCCTGGCTGCTCAGCTTGACAATCAGCACCAGATGGCCTTTCGCACCTGCATGGCCCATGGTTTTGAGTGTGAGTGAGAAGCTGATGGTGTGGGCGTGGAATTTGCTGCGTACGCACCAGGGACAGCAAGGTGGACCTTGGCATAGCAGCTGACGCTGGCCTCAATAATCTGCATCCTGCTGCATTCGCCTGCCACAGTCCACAGTCAGTCTGATGACCGTTATTGTGGGGGTGGGGTGATTGCAGCACCAGTTCCTCGAAGAATGTGAGGCAGCACTCGCTCCACATCGCTGATCGTGGCCACTGATTCGGGCTTCTTCAGCGCCGCCACAATGTAGGCTCGCGGCAACTTCAACTGGTACCTCCAGGCGCTGACTGTGCTCCACACACACAGCATTGGTTCAGATTCGCCTCATTCAGCGCTGTTCAAGGAGTGCGCACCCCAGTAGGTCAGACGAGTGAGGAACTCCCACGAGCATGACGGGTGGTTGAAGTCCAAGCGGATAGACGGTGGTGCCAGGAGTGGCTCTTCGCTGAACAGGTGCAGGTCCTCCCTGTAGTGACCAGTTTCGGGCCTTCATGACACACACACACACACAGTGTCAACTCAACAGAGGCACATGGCACACATCAAGAGGTAAAAAGAGTACAGGGTTGGTGGTCTCTTAGTGGTGCCACACACCACGAAGAAGGTGGCCATCCTGTGAGCACGTTCAGTCAGCGACGGTTCAGCTCGAGCGAGCGAGCGAGCGAGTGGTCAGTGGGAGTACTGTTGTGCATCGAGGGGCAGACGCAGGGCTTCGGCAAATCGAGTGAGTAGGTCTCGGTCGAGCATGTGATGGCGCCCATCGCCATAACGGTAACGTGCAGAGGCTGAATGACGTGGCGTGTGGGCCGTAGGAGATTCATCAGGGTAAAAGCACACACAAAAAAGATGAATACGACGACAGGCACACCACCTACCAATCTCTTCATGGTACCCAAAGAGCAGTGCAGGCTCTGCTGTGGTATCGCCAGCGCGGCGACAAAAGGCCTGTGTCCTTACGATGCGGTCCTTGCGTTGGCCATATTCATTGGTCGGCAAGCCCAACACCCAGTACATCTGCAGCAAGTGGGACTCCCTGATGAGTATGCCAGCCCGCAGCAAAAATGACACAACAAAACAAACGCGTTTACTTGTTTGTGACGTACGATGTTGAGGATGAACACATCGTGACCTCCAGTCGCATCAGGTGTGGGGACCTTCACCTCCAAGATGCACGTGATTGCCTGATCTGTAGTGACCTCTCGCTCGGCGTAACTCCTTACCACGATGTTCTGCCCAAACACGCAAGCAATCACAGTTGTTGCCCAATGCCAAAGAAAAGCAGAGGAGGGCACAGAGGGTGGTGTTTGCTTAGGTACCTCTTGGACGACACGCTTGACGGCGTGCACTTGGTCGCCCGTATATAAGCTCTTCCAGTAGAGCTGTTCGATGTGTAGCTGGTGTTTCCGAGCGCTGACCTGCTGGATCAACGCATCCAGCAGCACCTCGGCCTTGGTGGCCAGATCCAGTTGATCGCCGGCTTCCACAGCTGGGCCGCCTGGTTGGGTGCTCTCCTCCGGCAGGGCGAGGGCCGCGCGCAGATCCCGTCGATCGATGTAGTCATCACAGTGGGCGAACGCTGCAGCAACAGAACGCTGGTCAGCATTGCAGAAACAACGAACAAATCAACCACATGTGTGTTGTGGTGCGCAATGATTCACGCACATACCGGCCTGCGGTTGGAGAGACACGGAAGCGACGGCGGACGCCACCAGTGGCACCAGCTCGAGCAGCACCACGCGGGTCACAGGGTGGTAGGCCAACACGGTGTCGCGTGCGGCGCGGCTCGTCCCTGCCAGCGCCAAGGCAGGATCCCAGTCCAGCCTGCATGGCCACCAAGAGCCAACCATTAGCCGACGTGAAAGCTACAATACAAAGCGAAAGAGAAGGGTACCACTGGCAAATCTCAAAGAGGACCTCCCCGGGGAGGTCCAAGAGGTTGGTTACCGCAGCAATGTTGTTGGCGCTTGCTGCTGCTTCAGTTTCTTCTTCGTCTTCTTCTTCTGAATGAACGCGGGGCCGCTTGCTTGGGTGGGCGCCTTTTGTCGTGTTTGTACACTCATCGTTCGCCTCGGCCAGAGCGCGCTTCTTGATTGATTGGATGGAAAGTATAGAACTAAAGATGTTAGAAACGGAGGAGGGGCGAGTCGCTCAAGCCATCATGACGCACCCTGCCTGTCCCGTTCCTTGAAGACGTGGCCGACGGGGCTCGCGAATCTACAGCGTTGGGGTGGGTTCGGCGGCCCTCACAGGTGTGGCAGGTGCACAAAGGCACCATACCAAGCTTGGCGCAGTACTGTCGATAACACTGGGGGATGTGGGCAAGAAGCGCCCCCCACGCTGTGTCCTCCCCACACATCACGCATTTGAAGGTGCGGCGGCTCATCTTCGTGCCGTGGTGGCGATTCAAATCTGTAGTATATCTTTGTTTTCCTTTTTGTGAAGCGTCAAGGTTCTACGTGCTTGGAGTGCTGGTCGATACAGATCTGCACGAGCTTCCTCTCGATGTCGGCATCCTCGTCCTTAGTCACGTGGATCTGTTCGCCCGCCTTGGTGAAGAGAATGAGCTGGCGCTGGTAGGACTGCAGCATATTGGCCACAACAAGCGACACGCCGTAGTTCTTCAACGCCGCCGTCGCCTTCTGTGCAAGGATCTCTGCATCGGTTTCCAACTGGTCGTCCCATTGTGAGTGATTGACGATGACGATGGTGTCACGCTGTAGGGTACCTTGAACGAGATCACGAAGGTACTCGGCGCCCAGACGTTGGTGATGAGATTGAGCACCTTGGGCACGTTGTACAGATGAATGGTAAGCCCCAACGGGTTGGACGAGGATTGAATCTTGTGCTCGGTCTGTGGCCAGAAACAGAGCAGCAACCGGTGGTGAGTCCCAAGAGAGAGAACGAAGAACAAAGCGCCAAGGCATGCAATGCACCATTTCGCTGGCGGGGATGTAGAAGTCGGACACGGCGGCGGCCGAGTAGATGAGCCCCTTCTTGCCGCACTTGTTCAGCTCCGTGGCGATGAACTTGAGCAGGAAGAGGTACTCGTGCACACTCACGAACCGCACCTGCGAAAACGAAGTGTTAACAACGCGAAATCGGGTGAGCTAGCACTCGACTGTACATGAGTTCACAATGGGGAATCGATATCGACCGGACTCGGTTGCGCACCCTCAACAAGCGGTTCTCCTTGCGAACAACGTTGAAAGCGGTGAGGATCGTGGCGACATCACGCTCCACTTGCTCATACTCGTGGAAGACTGCGTTACGTGCGGTACTGAATGAGTGAGCGCTTGCGACTGTGCGAACATTCACTCACGCGGAGGCGACGTGATCACGATGGCTGGTCCGTACCCTCGACGCCGCCCTTCTCGTTGACCGTGAGGAAGTCGATGAAGTCGCCCGTGGGGTGGCGCAGCTCGAAGTAGCGCGCGTAGGGCTGCAGCGAGTTCTTGCGGTTGAGGAACAGCACCGCGTAGCCCTGGCTCAGGAAGTACTCGGCGCTCGCCGCACCGCGATTCCCGCCACTTCCGGCCCGTCGCACACCATGTAAGCCATCTACTCCTGAACACCTACGGAGAGGGGTGCTGGCGCTGGTACCTGAAGTTGTCGATGAAGCGCACGGTGTTCTTTTCCAGCGGCACGGTCGTCCCGCCGCTCTGGTGTCGAGAGCTCAGGTCGGCCCCAGAGCTACCCAGCAAGTCACAAGAGAGGGCCAACGTACGGTGACGAGGGCGACGCGGCGACCAGCAGCGATGTGGATCTGCAGCCATTCGGTCACCGAGCGCTGCGTCTCGTCGAAACCAGCGGGCGGGGGCGTTTGCGCGAAGAACAGGTCTGGGTCCGCCGCTTCCAGCCCCTTGCGCACCTCTTCATCTGTGGACTTCACCACGCGGTCAGCCAGCCCCAACAAAAAAGAGTTGTACTCCCAACATTGATTGACGTACTTGCATCTCTTTCAGGGCAGTTTCTTTTGCTTTGAAAATAAAATAAAAGAGAGAAGAATGATCGGTATGGATGCCGATCATTCCTTTTTCATTAAGGTGGCTCTGCTCGTTTTGGTGTTCGTGTGGCTTGTCTTTCATCTTGCTGTAGTAGCTTTCTCTTCAACCGTACAATGTCCACCGCTGGTAACGTCATCAAGTGCCGCGCTGCCGTCGCCTGGGAGGCTGGCAAGGATCTGAGTACGAACAATGATTTCTTGATAGATACCAGCCCCCGACAGATGAATGAATAGAATCAACTCATCTCAAAGATGCGTAGGCATCGAGGAGATCGAGGTGGCTCCTCCCAAGGCTGGTGAGGTCCGCGTCAAAATCGTCGCGTCGGGTGTGTGCCACACTGATGCCTACACGCTGAGCGGCAAGGACTCTGAAGGCATCTTCCCCGTAATCTTCGGCCACGAGGGCGGCGGTATCGTTGAGAGCGTGGGCGAGGGTCGTCACCTCGGTTCAGCCTGGTACAGCGCTCTTCCTCATCTTCCATCATTTCCCTCAGTCCTTCAAGCTCTAGTCGTTCTTAGCCTCCTTTCGAACACGCGCAGGTGACCACGTCATCCCCCTCTACATCCCCGAGTGCCGCGAGTGCAAGTTCTGCACGTCGGGCAAGACCAACCTCTGCTCCAAGATTCGCGTCACCCAGGGTAAGGGCTTCATGCCCGACGGTACCTCGCGCTTCACCTGCAAGGGCCAGAGCATCTACCACTACATGGGCACCTCCACCTTCAGCGAGTACACCGTCATGCCCGAGATCGCCGTCGCCAAGATCCCCAAGGAGGCTCCCCTCGACAAGGTCTGCCTGCTCGGCTGCGGTATCACCACTGGTTCGTAGCCAACAACCACTCGCGCCCTGATCGCCTGAAGGTCAACTTTTCTCACATGCCACCGTCCGCAGGTTATGGTGCTGCCCTGAACACTGCCAAGGTCGAGGCTGGCTCGACTGTGGCCGTTTTCGGTCTGGGTGGCGTTGGCGTCTCCGTCCTTCAGGTAATGCCTGCGAGCCTTCACCACATAGTAGCGGTAAGGATTGTCGCTCAGACGCTTCTCTGCTTTCTTCATTCCAGGGCGCCAAGGCTGCTGGTGCCAAGAGGATCATCGGTGTTGACATCAACGAGAGCAAGTACGATTTTGCCTACAAGATGGGCGCTACCGAGTGCATCAACCCCAAGAACTACGACAAGCCCATCCAGGATGTCATCGTCGAGCTCACTGATGGAGGCGTCGACTACAGCTTCGAGGCCATCGGTTCGTTTAGACTGCCTTCACTCTACGCTCACCCGGCCATTGGGCCGCTGACGGTGAACGGTGGCGCGTAACAGGTAACCCCATGACCATGAGGGCCGCGCTTGAGTGCTGCCACAAGGGCTGGGGTGTGAGCACCATCATCGGTGTTGCCGAGGCCGGCAAGACCATCGAGACCAGGCCCTTCCAGCTGGTCACCGGTCGCGTGTGGAAGGGTACCGCCTTCGGCGGTGTCAAGGGCCGCACTGAGCTGCCCGTCATCGTTGACAGGGTACGTGACGACGGCCTTTCTCATCCACGGTCATTCTCTGTGCTCTAGCTTCTCACACCGCGGCGTTCGTTGGTCGTACAACAGTACCTGAAGGGTGAGCTCAAGGTGGACGAGTACGTCACCTTCACCTACCCCCTGGACGAGATCAACGAGGCCTTCCACGTCATGCACGAGGGCAAGAGCATCCGCTCCGTCATTCTCTTTTGAAACTCGGAAGCTGGCGACCTCGGGATTGCCAGTGCCCAGAGCACCCGCGCGAGTGTGCAGCAACCACCTCCGCGCCTTAGTGCCCACCTTTAGTTGACCTACGAATAGACGTATTTTTTAGACTGGTAAACACCTCATCGGCGCCGTGTCGTTCGCTTTCTCTCTTCCTCTTTGGCCAAAGAGAGAGCTTAGCCAGGTGGCGAGCGTTGAGAGGAAGAAGACGCAAGTGGGTTGTTGTGGCGCTGGTGGTGTTGGCTCTGCTGCGACTGGTCACTATCCTGCCCCTGCGTCGCGGAGAGGCTGCTCCTGACTTTCGTGCAGCGGCCGAGAGGAAGAAGACGCAAGTGAAGAGGAGTCGTGAAACGAAGCTCGCGCCATTGGTTGGTGCTAGCGTCCGTGGTCTGAATATTTTAGAGACACACCTTTCACCACGAGCTCCCCGACCGGACTTCTCCACAGCTGGGGGCTGGCAGAAGCTCATCTTATGCCAGTGCCGTAGCTACCACGACACGACTTCTTTTCGGTGCTTGGCGAACCACAGAGATTAAGACTTCTTTCGAAATTGCCGCTGCGAAAGAGAGAAATCGAAGAAGAGAGGAATCGGACATTTGATTGACGAAGTAGATAGATGGAGGGGGGCAAGGCCACGGCACGGCCCTCTGCGACGAGGAGGCTCGGCGCAGTATGGAAGAAGAAGCTGAAGGGGGCTGGTGGCGGGCTGGGCGGGCTGGCGGTGATGGCCCTCGTGGGGCTGGTGGCCTTCGTGTGCGGCGTGGCCGTGCTCACCCTGGCGGCCTTCAGCCTGACCGACCTTCGCCACACCCACCTCAGCTTCGTCTCAACGGACTGCACCATCATCGACCACATCGCCACCACCCGCACCCGCTGCAGCCACGGCTGTACGCTCCGCACTCATTATTTTGTGGGCCCTCAAGTCCCAACGTGTGGCGTGTGCGGTGTCGTGTCGTGCAGGCCGTACGCTGGTGCGTCCGCAGCTGGTGGTGGCGTTCAAGCCTCGGCCGGAGCACGCCGGGGACGGCATAATGATGGAGCAGGTCCACACCACGGCTCGCTGGCGCGCCGGTCATCAGTGGCAGGAGGAGGGCACGGCGCGCGGCTTCTTCCGCCGCAACCCGGTCAACGTCACGCGCGAGTGCTTCTACGACCCGCGCAACCTCGCCAGCGTGGTGATGGAGAAGGAGTTCGTGAGCGTGCTCTCCTTCTGGGCCTGGCTCGGCGGTAGTCTGCTCGTGAGCGTGCTGTGCATCTTGGTGGCCGCGTACCTGTTCTACCTCGTCATCCTCTGGGCGCCGTTGGGCAAGTTCGGCTTCGGCGGCCCAACCGCCGATGATCGAGTGCGGCCGCCGCCCGGCGGCGCCATCAACGCCGCATCGCACGACTACGGCACCTTCGTGGGCGGGCCGGCCGGCGACTACACCGAGATCGGCGACGGGAGCGACAGCGACGAAGACGTGGAGATCGAGCTTCAGCCTCGGCGCAAGCAAGCTGAGCGATTGAAAGCGAGAGCACTCTCGTGAACTATTTATTGCTGTTTATTACTTGTACATACTGAGAGGAGGAAGACTTTATTTCCCCCGTGTTGATGTGCAACTAAGTAGAACAGAATGTGTAGAAAGGGAAGCCTGTACTCAGTCGTAGATGAGAACAAGCTGAAGGGGAGAAGAGAGGCGGCTGTTCAGGCGGGTGAGGTGGGTGCCCAGCCTCCAGAGCTGGTGGCCTCCGCGGAGCGTCAACATCTGTGGCTCGGGCGTGGAGTGAGGTGACCTGGAGCGCTCTGTCGAAGAAGCAGAGGAGGTTGACATGGCTGCACAGGGGTCGAGGTGGCCAGGCGCTGGTCTTCGCTGGTGGTTCGTGCAGGGTATAGTTGAGGTCCACATGGTTGGGAGCTTGGCTGCGTGGTTCAGTGTGCTCGGTAAAAGAGTAGAACAACGCCTTTTTTGCTCGGCCAGAGAGTTTGCCGGCTCGGCCAGAAGCAGGACCTAGACTAGTTCCTCGCAGATTTTTGTGAAAGGGGTGTAACAGTTTTTCTTCTGTACTTGGTTGGGCGACATTTCCCACGGAACACAGGAGGGGGAGAAACATCCTTAGCCGAAGGAAGTTCACCACCCCTGGAGGCAAGCAGCTCATCAACTCTTCGGGTGCCGCGAATTCACCGCGTTAGCTCACTTGCTCCAAGCCGAGACCATCAACGCAACGCTTGGAAAAAAAGATCAGCGCCGACGGTGGGGCTCGAACCCACGGCCACCAGGTTAAAAGCCTGGCGCTCTACCGACTGAGCTACGTCGGCTGACGTTCTGTCTACTCGGAGAAAAGTCTAACAGAGGGATGCTGGCCGTAAGGTAGTGGTGCAACGCAGGTGAAGCTGGGTGTGGTGGGTCCAAAGAAGAATCAACTGAGACGAGGGAGGTTGTGTACACTTATGTTTATGGACAGGAATGTTTACAACGGCGAGGTGCCGGCGAAGACCTCGTTCTTGTGCGCAGGAGGGACGTTCAGGGGAGGTCAGCGAGGGAGCGGCGCGGAGGGAGCCCCTTGGGCGCTTCCTTCTCCTTGGCCATGTCTTCGAACATGAGGATGGTGCGCAGGATGCTGTTGCTCTTGCCAAACATCATCTCCAAAAACTCGACGTACCTGCAAGAAGTAATCGATAATCAGTAAATTGACAACACCCACAAATCTGCGCAATAAATTGAAGCGGGGGGGTACTCGATGGTGCCAGAGCCTGTCTTGTCAACCTGCGCAATCATCTTCTTGAGCTCGAGGTGGGTCTTGGGCTGGCCCAGCTTCTCCATCATGAACTTGACCTCGTCCAGGCCCAGCTCGCCGTTGTGGTTGCGGTCGTAGAGCATGAACTTCTGCTTGTACTTCTCCAGAAGCTCATCTTCGACGTGCGTGTTGTGCCGCTTGAACTCGGCGCCGATCCTGTCCAGGTCGCTCTCCTGCACCTTGAGCTGCCGCCCGAACGCCTTGCCGCCCTGCGGGTTGGACTTGATCTTGTTGATGTCTTCCACCGGCTTATCCACTCCTCTCTGCATCTTTATCAGCTTTCTCTCACGACGGCAAGGACGGTGATGATGAGCGAGTGACCATCAAGTGGTGCAACCACTTCCCCTCCTTACACGACGCTTCGCTACTCCCAGAAGCCAATCAGCTTCCGAATTCCCAGCATTCCACATATTTAATTTTTCCTTGCGTTTGGTTGGTCAAAGCCAGGAGTACCTAAACCACCAAAAGGGCCAAGCTCGTGTAGGGCCATCAAACAAACAAACTAACAAAAGAGAGAGATGGGAGACAAGGAGAACCTGGATCTGTTGACGGCGCGTCCCTACAAGGACCAGGCCTGTTGGTTCCTCACCGCCTTCTGGGAGGACTTTGGCGAGAAGGAGGCCGAGAAGGTGTGGTCCTTCGTCAAGAAGTGCGCCGAGCTCGACGAGAACAAGCGCGCCGAGGGGTCGGACCTGGACGAGTTCCAGGCCCACCGCTTCCTCGAGCACTTCAAGGAGACCCTCACGGTCCAGGGCATGCGCGACAAGCTGCGCTCGTCGGGCGCCATCGCTGGCCAGGTCAAGCGCGTGCCCCTCCTCCACATCCTCATCTTCAAGTACAACATCGACTGGAGGCAGATGATCAACGCTCCTCAGGTACCCCCTCCCACATCTTCGTTCTTTTCTCGCCGTCGCTTTCGTTCTTCTCGCAGTTTAATAATTGAATTATTAATCATTAAAATAATCAAAAAATAACGAATTAACATTAAACAAAAACAGGGCAGCAAGGAGGAGGTGGCCAAGGCGCAGGCCCTGCTGGACCAGGTACAGTCGGCGCTGAGGGAGTCGCAGGCCAAGGACCAGCAGGCCGCGGCCGCGCTGAGGGAGGCCACTGAGCAGGAGGCCGCCGCCAAGCGCGCCGAAGCCGACGCCAAGGCCCGCGAGGCTGAGGCCAAGCAACGTGAGGCCGAGGCCAAGGCGAGCGAGGAGCAGGCCAAGGCCCGCGAGGCCGACGCCAAGGCGCGCGCCGCGGAGGCCAGCGAACGCGAGGCCGAGGCCAAGGCCAGGGAGGACGAGCTGCAGGCGGCCAAGGCCGAGCTCGAGGCGGCGCTCAATGAGCTCAAGGCCCAGGAGGACGCCTTCAATGGCCGCACGGCCGAGCTCACCCGTCAATCCGAGGAGGGCAGCGTGGTGCAGAAGAACCGGGCCAAGAACGAGCTCGCCCAGCACCTCTCATCCGACCCGCTACCGCTGCGCCGGGCCAAGATCACGCAGGAGGCCGCCGTGAAGAAGGCCGACCGCGCCGCCCAGGTGGCCCGCGAGGCCGTCGACAAGGGTGCGTTCTCTGCTCCGGTTGTTCTCACAGTTAAGCTCTGTGCTGACGTCGTCATCGTTTCGTCGAAACAGCGTCGGCTGCCCGCGCGGCTGCCGAGGAGGCCGCCAACCAGGCGTCGCAGGCCAGGAAGGCCGCCGAGGAGGCGGCTCGCCAGGCCTCGCAGGCCCGCGCGCAGGCCGAGGAGGCGGCCCGTCAGGCCTCGCAGGCCCGGGCCAACGCCGAGGAGTCACGACGCAGGTCGGAGGAGGCCAAGGCGGCGGCTGAGGCCGCTCTCGATGAGGCCCAGCGCAAGGTGGCCGAAGCCGAGGCCTACCTGGAGGAGGTCAAGAAGAGGATGCCCCTCGGTACCGCCTGGTGGATGGACCGCGAGATCCACGAGGCCCGCGCCTACCTGCCCAAGAACAAGGGCGGCTACAACAAGAGGGAGCTCGGCCAGGTGTAAACTACTTTCTACGTTCATTGTAATCACAACTACAATCATTTCCCAACCAACGTAACCAGTGTTGCAACAAACGTTGTGGTCTCTGTGGTGATGTGAAGCACAAACCAACTTAACTCCGATTTCTGTCCCACAATCGGGGTGAGGGTGGATGGGGTCAGCTTCAAGTGGTGCGGTCGCCTACTTTGCGGCGTGAGCTTGGTGCATCGGTCGATGGGTTCCTTCGATTCCTTCACATGCAGTAAATGATCCCATGACTCGGGGGCGGTGTGTGGTGTGGCCTTGACAGTGGCTCGGGACCCAAGCTGGGTCCGGAGCCCTGTGAGGCCGGCCCACATCACCCTGTGCCATTCCAACCCATGACGCAACCACCAGCTTTTTGGTCACCTTATCCTTTTCGTTCAAGTTTAAGTTTGAACACGCAGCGAGCGTGTCCCGTTCAATAAGAACCGCTAGCGATAGTCCCCGAATTCAGATTCAGCTGGCCTGGTGGGGCACGTTGGAGTAGAGCACCGTGTAGCGGATGGTCTCGGTGGACTTTGGGGCCACGGTGAGGCGCCACGTCATGATCTGCTTGCCCTTGGCGATGTCCTCGTACCTACAGTGGTATTGGTGTGCGTGAGCACTCGCCAGGCCTATGTAGGAGGGTGCAGAACCCAGGGTACGTACTTGGGCTGGCACGGCGAGACGGTGTAGTTATGCCAGCGCCACAGGAGGTCCTCCACGACGACCTGGTGCTTCGTCTTGCTGTGGTTCTTGAGCTCGATCTGCACCGACTCACGAATGGTGCGCGTCTTGACGTCCGCCTTGAGCTCCGTCACACGACGCTCGCCTGCCAGATCGCACAAGTCACAGTCAGAACACAACTCGTGTGCGTGTGCGGTGGCGCGTGGCAGGTTATGCGGATGCCACGTGCTTTACCAGTGAAGTCACTGTGGCGGCCGGTGACGAGGAGAATCTCCTCGCCCGGGCGGGTGAAGTTGAGGGTGGCCTGGTGGCGCAGGTTGAGGAACGTGTCGCCCTTGGTCGAGTCCAGCACGTCGATGCTGCCCGACGCGAGCTCAATGCCCAGACCTGCGTAGTTGTTGTTTTTGGCGGTGGTGAGTCGTCGCCAGTCGTGGCACGCACTGGGCAGCCCCATGGATGAATCCCGGCGTACGGTGGTGGGTGTCGTGGGTGTTGGTCCACCTCAGGATCATGTCGATGCTCTTGTGCTGGGAATGATCGGAATGCGAGCCCTGGAACGAGCCCTTGTAGGCTCCGACGAACGTGCGGAACTGAAGAGTAGAGAGACCACCGGGGAGGGGGGGGGGAACGATCAGAAATCGTGCGCAAGCAAAAGAGAGAAAGAGAAAAAGAACGAAGAAGAAGAAGAAGGCGAGAGGTGTGTACGAGGTTGGTCTGCTCGATGGGGAAGGTGGCGTGGGTGATCCGCACTTGCTTGTCCTTGCCCTGCACCAGGGTGATCGGGCGAGGCAGGTAGGAGGTGTTTTGCGTCGACACCTGTCGATTGGGCGATCATCGCGCGAATGAGAGTCAATCAGTTGCACTGCAATTGCCAGTCGCCAAGAATGTGGTGCGTGTCGATGGTCAGTCTATGTGCTACCATACCAGCGGTTTGGGCGACTTGCGTTTGCCAAAGTTGCTGATGGAGGAGAAAGGCTTCTTCAACTTATTCGTGTTGAGCCCATCACGTTCCTCGTACTGGGTCACATACACATGTGAGACGACACGCGCACATGTCATCGATCAGTGCTCCGTTTACCGGGACACAACACGCGCACTCGCACATACACACGCACGCGCACAAATGCACGCCACATCTTAGGGAAGCAAGTTACCTGGGCGGGAGCAGATTGGGGCGGCGCAACGAGAGCCAGAGCAGCGTCCTTGAATGTCTTGCCCGATTGGTTGCCCAGCCTGTGTGTGGCCCGCGGAGAAAACACGCACCCGATGAGACGAACCAGGGCCGTGTGTGTGTGCGTGTGTGTGTGTGTGTGTGTGTGTGTGTGTGTGTGTGTGCGTGCGTGCGTGCGTGCGTGTATGTGTGTGTGTGTGCGTGCGTGCGCGCGCACGCGTGTGTGTGTGTGGCGTACGTGATCCAGCCGGTGAACTCGGCCTGCGAGTCGGGGTGCACGACCAGGGTGTACTCGGCGGACCAGTTGATGCCAGAGGCCTCTGTTCCATCCAATCCATCACACAACGCAGGACGCACGAGTGTCTCGTCAATTTCAAGTAATGTGCCACCCAGGCGGAGCGAAACACGCGCGTTACCATAGGTGAGCTGCGCCTTGTGTGCGCCCTCCTGGTTGGTCTCTACCACGCAGTGCAACGTGGGCTCCCTGGTGTGTGTGTGGTGTGGTGTGTGGTGTGTGGTGTGTGGTGTGTGGTGTGTGGTGTGTGGTGTGTGGTGTGTGGTGTGTGGTGTGTGGTGTGTGGTGTGTGGTGTGTGGTGTGTGGTGTGTGTGCGGTTATGGGTCAGACACTGAGTTTTGGTGTATCAGCGAGACTAGAGTGGGAACTGCTGCGCACTTGTTGAACGACTGATGGCCGGCCTCGGCGCTGACGATGTGAGCGCGGGAGATGACCACCACCGCACCCTCCTAGTGATCGGCGCGTTGGCATCAGAACACTCTTCTTTGTCATGGAAGCCGGGAACAGATCGGTCACGTACTTCGGTCTCGAGAGCGACGTCCTCCTTCTCCATGATCTGGAGCAGCTTGCCCCTGACGCTGCTCTCCTCCTTGTCGTTGAGCTTCAGCGTGACCTGTTCACGTGGCCACCCACCGCCACGGTGAGCACGCTGCACCAAAAGAGAGTTACTACGTGAGACGTAGGGGCAGACGGTGCGCACCACTTCGCCGACTGACTCGGCCAACAGAGCCATGAACGAGTCAACCCCATTCTCAAGCCTGCACGTGTGCGTGTGCGGTGGTGCGTGTGCGGCAGTAAGTGTGAGTGAGTGTAGGACAAAAGGAAGAAAAGGAAGAAAGGAAGACATACGTGTGCTCGACGATGGAGGCATCAGAGTCGGTGAACGAACGGAAGTTGAGGGAGGCCGGGTGCACGGACGATGGCAGGTCGCGGATCAACGCCCGGCCGCCGTTCTCTACCACCACGTCCCGGTCCTCGCGCACGTAGACCTGGCCGTTGTGGAAGATGAGAAGGCTGGTGGCGGCGTCGAAGGGCTTCTTGTCCTCCTCGACGTGCTCGGCGGCCTCTAGCTGCTCGTCCACGTCCGGCTCGCCCTTGGTCGCCGTGACGCTGATCCCAGTGTCTTTGGCCCAAGAAATGTGTTAAAAAAGACAAAATGAAGAAAAAAGCAAAAAGAGAAGAAATAAACCATAAATTGTGAAAATAACAGAATAAAGAAAGGGCCGAGTACCGTCATCGTCGCTGGAGCTGGCGAGGTGTTCTTCGGCTTCCTCTGTCGAAAGGCTGGCGAAGGAGTTGCCCTTCTTGTTCTTGCTGTTGGTGTTCTTGCGCTTGCGTTCGCCCGCTTCGAGATGCTCCCCCTCCTTCTCCTCCTGGACGTTGGGCCGCGGCGAGTGCGGCTTCTTCGAGAACTGCATACCAAACAAACTCATCTTCTCTTGATGACGATGTCTTCTTTTCTTTGCCTACACTTGGGTGCTGCTTGGTGCGTCTGGTGGTTCGTTTGTGCGAAGTGGTCCTGGGGCAACGTCAGTTCGCTGTAACTCTACTTTTCAGACATGGCGGTAATAGTGTCGACATTGCCGTTGCGCAACCACGCTCACGAATCGTTGTCGTTGTTGGTCAGCTGCTGGAGCGAGCTGGCGAGCACGGCGGAGAAGGCGGAGGTGGAGGTGATGCCCACAGGGCCGGTGCCCGCCACCTCTTTGGACGGGCTCTGTGGTGGCGTGACTACGATTGTCGGGATGTCTGCATGGCCGTGCGATGATGATGATGATGAGGGTGATGGTTGTGGAGAGGAGGAAGAAGAAAGATGAAGTCAGTGCCACAGAAAGAGAAGAAGAGGAAAGGGGAGGGGAGGGAAGAGCGTACTCTTGGGCGGGGTGCAGGGAAAGTCGTATGCGTCGTCGTCGAGCGTGGTTGATGGGGAGGTGCTTGAGGGGAAGACGTCGATGGGGTTGGTCCCGCAGGATGGTGATGCTGAAGACGAAGAGGACGAGGTTGGAGAAGGAGAGGAACAGGAGGAGGGTGAAGAGGGCGAGGCCAACGACGGTGGCGAACATGAAGATGACGGGGAAGAGCGCAGCTCCTGACTGTCGTCGGTGCCGTTGCATGATACACTGGAGTGAAGGCAAGGGAAGAGTCAGAACGTGGAGCATCTTAACAGAGGGCGTATAGGCAGATTGGAGGGGGGGGGTGAAGTGTACTAGTTGATGGGCTGAAAGGTGTAGCCCATTTCAACCAGGAGGCGCTCCTTGTCCGTCACGATGCCGATTTGGTCTCCGCTGTGAAGCAGCATTTTCTTGCTCTTGGTCAGCCGCTTGCCGTTGATGAACGTGCCGTTGCCTGAACCGAACGTGCCGAGCAGGTTTAGCGCCTCGAGTACGGATTCGCATACGCTGCGCAATTGGCTAGAAGACAAGCGAGGAATGGGGGAGGAGTACCGCTGGTGTCAACGAT